CTTCCTTTTTGGCTTCTCCTTCTGAAGCTTTGGGCATTCATTCTTGTAGTGCCTATGTTCCTTGCATTCATAGCAGACAACCTCTTTCTTTCCAGATCTTCTGTGTCCAGAAGACTCTTTACGTTGATCTGGTTTCTTGAAGTTCTTGAACTTCCTCTGTTTATGCTTCCAGAGTTTGTTGATCCTTCTGGACAGCAGGGATAATTCATCTTCTTCTTTAGAAGAAGATTCTTCAGAACTTTCTTCTAAAACCTGCAAAGCTTTGGCATTTTGTTAGACTTTAAAGCAACAGACTTACCTTTTTTCTGGGGTTCATCTTCTTCTAGTTCAATCTCATGACTCCTCAGAGAGCTGATCAGTTCCTCCAGCGTGATCTTGTTCAGATCCTTTGCTAGCTTCAAAGCAGTGACCATTGGTCTCCATCTGATTGGCAAACTTCTGATGATCTTCTTAACATGATCTGCAGTGGAGTAACCCTTGTCCAGAACTTTCAAGTCAACTGTGAGAATCTGGAATCTAGAGAACATAACTTCTACAGATTCAGATTCCTCCATTTTGAAGGCTTCATATTTCTGGATCAGCGCCAGAGCCTTGGTCTCCTTGACTTGAGAATTCCCTTCATGAGTCATCTTCAAAGATTCAAACATACCAAATGTTGTTTCTCTGTTAGTAATTTTCTCATACTCAGTATGAGATATATCATTTAGTAGTATGGTTCTTGCTTTATGATGATTCCTGAATTCTTTCTTCTGAGCTTCAGTCATGGATTTTTTGTCTATCTTTTTGCCATCCCCATCAGTGGGGTGAACATAGCCATCAATGACTAAATCCCAAAGGTCAGCATCATATCCTAGAAAGAAGCTTTCAATCCTATCTTTTCAGTAGTCAAACATCTCCCCATCAAACATAGGGGGTTTAGTGCTGATTCTATCTCTGTCCTCATATCTGTTGTTGTTGGATGTTGAAGCTTCAGCCATAATGTATCAACCAAAATATATCAAGAGTTTTCTCAAATGGATCTTTTCTGTTCACGGTGAAGTGAGAGCACTAACAGAACCAGAGCTCTGATGCCAACTGAAGGTGAGAAAAACATTTAGAAGGGGGGGGGGGGGGTTGAATAAGAGTTTTGAAAAAATATGGCAATAAAAACAACACAAGATTTTTATCTTGGTTCGTTGAACTCAACTAATCCAGTCCACCCTATCAAGGTGATTTTCCTTTCTCCACAAGGACTTAATCCACTATATTCAAACAGATTACAGTGTCAACCACTAAGAACAACTGTCTTAGTCTTCTCAAGAAATTCTGACCACAACTTGGTCTTCTCAAGGAACCTTTTACAAATTAATGTAAACTAAACAAGTGTTTAAGATGCTTCTAAAAAGCTATATCACAAACTGTCATCTTTACACTTAGATTAAGAACGAATAAAAACTAATCAGCTTTGAGTAAGAAAGATTGTATGAGAGTTGTTGAATAATTTGTTCAAGATTCGTTGGTCATTCGTTAACCTTGAAGAGATGTTGAAGACGTCCTTTTATAGTGCTGAAAGTCCAATGCTTGAAGACTATGCAAGTATAGTAGCTGTAGCCTTTTGTCTTCACATGACTTTTCCTTTCTCAGAAGTAGAATGTTCAGAGAAATGCCTTTTGCCTGAATCCTTGTGTCTATCACAAATAAGGAATAGTTCTGTTGGAGAGGATGTTGAGAATAATACCAAGTCTATTCACGTGATGACATCTTTTCAAACGTAAACAACATCAGATCCTCTGATGTGCTTCTTGTTCTTCAGATCAGATTAAATGATATCAGAGTTGCAGCAATAATGCTTCAGCGTGAGTGATCTGATCAGAGCATACGTGTTTTTCAGAGCTTTTGTACTTGCAGCGTAAAGTACATTCAGATTCTTCTGAAACAATGCTTGAAACTCTTCATACAAAATCTTCAGCTACGCTTCAGATGCTTCTGCAGCTTCTGCTTCAGAGTCTTCTGATGGCTTGCTCCTGATGCTTCAGAGCTTTGCGTAGACTACTGTTCAGATGAATTTTTGCTTCCATAAGAATATTTAATTTAATATCTGAAACAAAAACACTTGAACAAAATTAGAGTATATATTTTCTTAATACAAAATTTCATTAGAGTTATCATCAAAACATAGAGATATAAATAACCAATCTGTGTTCTAACATTTACTTGTCTAGATTTCATCATACACACTCTCAAAAAAACAAACAACTGTCGAGTGCACCATAAATCCTAAATAACCAACCCACCCATAACCAGAGTCCTGGGACTAGTTTGCCCAGTCCCGCAAGCAAACCCGCGTCGGGAGGTCAGAGGTTGTCCGCGCGAAAAACACGTGTGAACAGTTCCACAAACACTTCAGTAAAGTGACAATGTTCCATATCTCTAAGTTAATCACATTTAATCCACCTTGGGCAATAGATCTGAAAACTTTATTCCATGCCACAGGGATTTTTCTCTTGATATCAGCTTGGCCAGTCCAAATGAATGTTCTATAACTAGCATCAATCTTATGCAGAACCATTTTTGGAATAGGGAGACAACTCATCCATTACTGAGCAATTGCCAAGGAATGTTTTTCACCAGCTGAATCTTACCTGCTATGCTGAGCTGTTTAGATGACCAATGTTGAATTCTGCCCACAATCATATCCACCATTGGCAAGTAATGGTTGAGGCTAAACTTCTTGCAAGAAAGGGAAATGCCAAGATATCTAACAGGAAGCTCTGATCAGTGCATATTTATGCACATTCTCCTACATTTTTACTTAGGCATTTCTTTATGTTATTTTGCTTATTATTATATTTTATCATGTTTTCTTATTTTATTTTATTTTTGATTTAATTTAATTTTCGCAACTATTTTTCAGCTTTAGCAGTCTGCACGGAAACGATCATAACTGGAGTTCCGGGAATCCGATTGAGGCGTTCTAAATATCGCCGGAAAGCTAAGAGAGAGAGCTACAACTTTCGTGTTGGAGTCGAAGTCAGATTCGGAGCTCAAAATTCCAGATTTCCGTTTCAAGTTACAGTATTAGAATTTTATTTTAGTTTTGATGTTTTGGGCCTGGGTTATATTTTTGACCCAGTTGGGTTTTGATCCATTATTTTCCTTTTTAAAGAGAAATTGTGTTACTGTTCACATTACCTACTATTCACGAGAAAAAAACCTTGAAGCTTTTACGAATCCTATGGAGAACTAATCCCTCTGAGTCGGTCTACCGTAATTCAGGTTCCAACACTTGAGATTATTATAATATTATTACTATTTATTAATTCCGTTCAATAATTTTATGTTCTTGTATGCTTAATTCGATTGCATGATATTATTGATTTAATTTGGTTGATTGTATGGTCCTAGGCATAGACACGTTTACGTTTGCTTAATTCGTTTGTGTGTCTGAACAATCATGTTTGCTTAATTCATGAAGTTTTATCCCGTTTGCTTAATTCGGACATTAGGATCATAAATCTTACAAACATTTTTGCGCTTGCCATTGAGTTTGCATCCAGATAGGAATGACACTTAGAAGATCAATATTATAATAATCAATGATAGTAGGAACCGAATCGGTAGATTGACTTATTTCATAATCAATTTTCTTCATAACAACTTATTTCGAAAATTACTCTTGTTAATTACTCTTCCCTAATCGAACCAAAACCCCCCTTTTTATTTCATTACTGTAATTGGTTAATCACTACAAGAATCCTTGTGAGAACGATATTCCGAGTCACTGTCGCTGTACTGCATTTTTATAAAATTACTCGTTTTTGATCCGCGAGCGACCGCGGATCAAATTGGCGTCGTTGTAGTATAGTGGTGAGTATTCCCGCCTGTCACGCGGGTGACCAATGTTGAATTCTGCCCACAATCATATCCACCATTGGCAAGTAATGGTTGAGGCTAAACTTCTTGCAAGAAAGGGAAATGCCAAGATATCTAACAGGAAGCTCATATTCTACAAAACCATAAATATGCTTCACTTCTTGGATGGTTATAGAATCCATGCCACCACAAAAAAATCCTGCATTTATTTGGGTTGATGCTAAGGACAGTTGAATTAGAAAACACATTAAAAGCTGCTAAGATCAATTCTACAGACTTTTTATCACCTCTACTAAAAAGAAGCACATCATCAGCAAATGACAAATGAGTAATGCCAAGCTTCTCACACTTGTTGTGATGATTAAAGTTGGGATTCAATTGCATCCTATTCATAATTATATTCATATACTCCATCATGATAACAAACAACAAGGGGGATATGGGGTCCCCTTGTCTAATTTCTCTCCTAGCCTGCAAGATCTCATTGTACTCACCAATTATATTGAACCAATAACTGACAGTAGTAGTCATTGTCATGATCCACCCAATGAACTTCTTTGGAAAACCTATTTCATATAAGATGCACTTTAATGCTTTCCAATATACCGGGGTCCCACCCTTTTTAGTATAACCATTCATCAATTTAAAAGCAAGCAAGATGTGGTTGTGAATAACCTGACCAGGAACAAAAGCTGACTGGCTTTTGTGAATGACATCCTGCAGAAACTTTGTCCAGCCTATTTGTCAGAATCTTTGAGATGACCTTATAAAAAGTGGTGCAACCAGCTATAGGTCTAAAATCTGTAGTAGTCTTAGCATTTAATTCTTGGGGATAAAAGTGACTACTATATACTATTAAAGACTTTGTACATGTTACCTTTCTCAAAGAATTCATGAACAACACCCACAATATCTTTCTTAATTATGTGCCATCCTGCCTTAAAGAACTTGGCCTCATAACCATCAATGGCAGGAGCTTTCATATCCCATATTCCCCTTAAAGCTTTCCAAATTTCCTCCTCAGTAACTTTAGCAGTTAGAGGCTCACCTTGCCCCCTTGTAAACTGTTTACCACCCCCTCATGGCCTCTATGTCAACATGTTGTATAGAAGTAGCAGCTTTTCCCATAAGGTTTCCATAGTAATTCATCACTTCATTATGAATATCCTGCTTCTCATTAAGATTTCTCCATCAACATTTTGTAACATACTCATGCTCCTATTATGATGTTTAGTTTTAATGGTTGCATAGTAATAAGCATTGTTACCATCTCCCATTCTCAACCAGTCAAATTTTGCTCTTTGCATAAAGATGCTTTCCTCAACTTCATTCCACCGAATAACATTTTCTATGCAGGTTTTCACCTTATCAATGATTGTAATGTCCATTCTATTCTGTAAAAGGTCATTTTGAGCTTTCTCTAGATCCAATCTAGATTTCTCAACCTGTTGTTTAACATTAGACATGGACTTGTCAAATTTAACCAGATCAGGCTTGAGCCTTTGGAGTTTCTGCCATAGAATATACATTAGAATTCTCCCTATAGGTTTATTCCAGCTAGCCCTCACAATATCCTCAAAGCCAATCATATCCATAATACAATTGTAAAACTTAAACCTCCTGTTATTTGCCTTTATCTGAACCTTTTCTTCCACACACAACATAGCATGGTCAGAAACACTAGGAGGAAGAATTTTCAGCTGCTTATAATGATTATTTTGAAACCAAGCAACATTCCCTAACACTTTATCAATTCTAGAGTAGATAGTACCAGTAGACTGTTTATTACTCCAAGTATAATAGTCACCTATACTGTCCATCTCACTGAGCCCAATCAAATTCATCATGTCCTGCATATCAATAAACTCTGCTTTAGTCACTATTCTGCCACCTATTATGTCTTGAACCCTAGCCACATTATTAAAATCATCAATTGCACACCAAGGACCGTGCTGGTTAATCTAAACCTTCTCTAAATCCTTCTATGGCTTCCTTCTATGCTCCAAATGGTTACGAGCATAAACAACCGTTAGCCAAAATTTGAACTTGCCTAAAGTATCATAGATACCACATCATCATTATTATTATTATTATTATTATTATTATTATTATTATTATTATTATTATTATCATCATTATTATTATTATTATTATTATTATTATTATTATTATTATTATTATTATTATTATTATTATTATTATTATTATTATTATTATTATTATTATTATTATTATTATTATTATTATTATTATTATTATTATTATTATTATTATTATTATTATTATTATTATTATTATTATTATTATTATTATTATTATTATTATTATTATTATTATTATTATTATTATTATTATTATTATTATTATTATTATTATTATTATTATTATTATTATTATTATTATTATTATTATTATTATTATTATTATTATTATTATTATTATTATTATTATTATTATTATTATTATTATTATTATTATTATTATTATTATTATTATTATTATTATTATTATTATTATTATTATTATTATTGTTATTATTGTTATTATTATTATTATTATTATTATTATTATTGTTATTATTATTATTATTATTATTATTGTTATTATTATTATTATTATTATTATTATTGTAATTATAATAATAATAATAATTATTATTATTATTATTATTATAATTATTATTATTATTTTATTATAATTGTCATTATAATAATAATAATAATAATAATAATAATAATAATAATAATAATAATAAATATAATAATAATTATTATTATTATTATTATTATTATTACAATATTATAAAAAATATAAAATAAATTAATTTATAATAAAGTATCATTATATAAATCAACTCGTTAACAATTATTAGAAAAACATGATATTAATATAAAAAATAATATATACAAATAAAACTAAGCATAAAAGTATATAAAACAGATTTGTTGTGGTCAAATATTTTAACACCAAACACATAATAGATTTAATTAAATTAAATATTCAATACATATCAATTATGATTTAATATAACAATCATATCTCTTAGTAAAAAAATTAGTAACCACCACAAAGTATAATTAGTAATTATAACACATTGCTATCGATTTTATATTTTTAACAATTCTTAATCCAATTTTTCTCTTAAAAGAAATTATCAACAACACAAAAATATCAAATAGAATATAATAACATATTCACAAAGTTTCGGTTATTTTGTCAATATAATATTAAGTAATGTCTCATAATAAAATGAAATATCTCTATTCATGTTATTCATACGTGTATAGACATGTAAATTGAATTCTTAAAATAAAAATATTATATATTGTGAATTTAGTCTCAATTGACAATAATTAACAATATAAAAATCTTATAGATAACTTATCTCATGATATCAAACATATATTAATATTTAAATTAAAATTTTATTGCAATATGAATTCAATGAAAGCAATAATATTTATACCATAACTTATAAATATTCAAATTTAAATGCCATAAACAGTTTTTTTTTTCCACAAACCTATAATCATGATAATATCAATACAAAATAATATCAATTAAATTGATATTCAATACATAATAACTATAATTTAATCTAGCATTTACAACTACATACCATTATGTTACTATCAAATAAAAATTTAATTGAATATCCATGTTAATAGTAAAATATAAAACTTAATGTTATAAGTTTCTATAAGTGACGTTAAGAAAAAAAAAACGTAGGTTAGCAAAAACAAAATAGAAAGCCATCATCCAAATTAAAATTATACTTTATACAGTAAAAAGATTATAATTAATTTTTTATACATATAAATTAATTATAGCAACCTTCAAATATTTTCAATTTGTTTATAGATAAATATATATCTGTAACACCATTTTTAAAAGTAGGATTAGACAATAAAAAAATATGAAATTTTATTTTTCACAAAATTTACATTAATCAGTGATTATAAAATCTTTATATTCACTGATAATTTGTTTCTACAAAATATTTAAAAATGTAAAAAAAATAAAATTGAAAAGTTAAAACCTGATATGGTGCAACATCAATCATGAAAAAAATAATCTCGAGTCTTGTTTATATATGATTGGTCCACGAGACCCATTCTCCATCTTTCCACAATGATAAAATAAATTTTTAAGATTATTGTAAAATTAAAATCTGAATCAATTCAATCACTTTTACTCGTATTAATAATTTTTAAATCTGTAAAATAATAAAAGATTAAACAAACTTGAGGCGTGTAACTGTCTTTAAAAATTTATCCACCTCATAAGCATATATCCTTCAAAATTCATCAAGCCTTTCTTAGACTAAATTCAAAGTAACCGAATATTAAATGTCCGAAAGATATAACCAGGACAACCTTAAAAATATAAAACCTTACAAATTTTGACTAAGTCAAATCAATTTCTTTTATCCGGTCAAATCATAAATAATCCTAATAATAATAATAATAATAATAATAATTATAATTAAATAATAATAATAATTAATATTAAAAATTATTTTCCTCATATTAAATGTCCGAAAGATATAACCAGGACAACCTTAAAAATATAAAACCTTACAAATTTTGACTAAGTCAAATCAATTTCTTTTATCCGGTCAAATCATAAATAATCCTAATAATAATAATAATAATAATAATTATAATTAAATAATAATAATAATTAATATTAAAAATTATTTTCCTCATATTAAATGTCCGAAAGATATAACCAGGACAACCTTAAAAATATAAAACCTTACAAATTTTGACTAAGTCAAATCAATTTCTTTTATCCGGTCAAATCATAAATAATCCTAATAATAATAATAATAATAATCATAATTAAATAATAATAATAATTAATATTAAAAATTATTTTCCTCATATTAAATGTCCGAAAGATATAACCAGGACAACCTTAAAAATATAAAACCTTACAAATTTTGACTAAGTCAAATCAATTTCTTTTATCCGGTCAAATCATAAATAATCCTAATAATAATAATAATAATACTAATAATCATAATTAAATAATAATAATAATTAATATTAAAAATTATTTTCCTCATATTTGTCACTTATAAATGTGACAAAATTTATTCAAAACTTTAGAAATATTACCAAAATTTACAATACTCAGATTGAAAGATCTAGAAGACAAGACTTTAGTTTCATCTTGGAGGGAGTGAGGAAATAAAAGAATTTATCTTATGCAGATAATGTCATTCTATAATTACGGTAGTTTTTGTTTATGGGGATGATTAAATTTTTATTAAAGGGCGATATTTATTTTCTTTATGGGGATGATTAAATTTTTACAATTTGGTTTTAAAAAATGATTTGATTTTCTATAATTACGGTAGTTTTTGTTTCATTAAGGCAAGTTTTCAAAAAAGAAAATTACAAATTTTGATTCACCCCAATTAGAAATAGTAATAATGAGTTACTATTTCCTTAAATATTAAACCTAAATTAAATATTTATCATTTATAAATTTGTCTATGATAATCTCTTGTGGTATTCATATCCAAATTTCAATTATATGGTTTTGTTCAAATATAAATTCTCTACATTTTGTATAAGTGTCTCTCTTTGTTCCAAGTTAAGGAGAAGAAAAGTCGCAATGACCAATTACAAGGTTTATCTTATTACAGCGGTTTTCATATTTATGACACCGCTTTTTTTTGCAGCCGATTTATTTGAGATCGTGAAGCAAACTCTGTACTATTTTACACCTATAGTTATCACAATGATCTTATTATGGCGTAAAGAAATTTCAATGTTGATAGGAATAGTAATGGACTATTTTTCTGCTTCTAATAAGAGGTCGACATATTCATGGCCAAAGCTGAGGTTTCGATTTCCGAAGGTTGCATGTCTTGTTCCATGGAATTTGGTTTTTTTTATCTCGATATATGTTACATTGATATTCTATCAACCTAAGATTCGTGAGATGTTATTTTTTGCATTAATGGATTAAGTGTGTTGAGTTCAACTTTTGATAAATGTGACCATTTGATTTATTATTTTGTGATGGTACGTTTTTATTTTTAAATATTCAGAGATTATACATCATCATCTATTTCAAATTTTGATGATATACTTAAGTGTTTGGAGTAGAACAAAAGGCATAGTGGAAGGCTAGAATAATACTTCTAATTTTTAGAGAACTATGAAGAAACTACACACTTGAGATGACTAATTCAAAAGAATTCATGAGTGGTTTTTTATTTATTTATGAAAATGTTATTTTTAGGTGAGAATGTGAAAATGAATTTGAATCATTAGATTTTAAAATAAATAGTGGAGATTATGTGTGTTTTTTATTTTTCTCTCTCTTCCATTATTAAAATAAATGATGAAGGAGAGAAAAAAAACTGACACATAATCTCCACCATTTATTTTAAAATCTAATTGTTCAAATTTATTGTAAGTGTGTGTGCGCGCATGCGTGTTTTTTTTCCTTTAAGATGCACCTTAAGGTGTATTTAATAATTTTTTAATTATTAATTACTAATATACTTCTAAAATATAAATAGGTATATGTTAGCAAATATATATAGAGGATGCTGGCTTTCACAAATGTTTTAGTAACATGTACCTTAAGGTGCATTTAAATCTTTTTTAATTAAATTTTTAAAAATACTTCATAAAAATAAGTAGGTATCCTAGCAATACTATATATATATATATATATATATATATATATATATATATATATATATATATATATATATATATATATATATATATATATATATATATATATATATATATATATATATATATATATATATATATATATATATATATATATATATATATATATATATATATATATATAT